CTTGTTCCTATTTGACTTGATGAATGATGACTACTTATGTAGGTTTGAATCTGTGATTATCAAAATTGTTAACAGTGCTACACATGGATAGAGTTGGTCTGATTGGTTAGTCTGGTCAGTAGTCTTCATACGATTGATCGTATTGCCATTTATGAGCTTCCATTGCATTCTTCTAGTAATTATTCTTTCTGCACTCACATTCCAATGCATACATGATAAATTGATAGGAATTTGAGTCCTAAGGAATCTGTCGCATCTTCTGACTTTTATTTAACTCGTTGTTATCTACAGGCTGTGATGGCAAGTGATTTTGCAGTAGCTCAATTTCGTTTTCTGGAGCGTTTGTTGTTGGTACATGGCCACTGGTGCTATAGACGAATTGCAATGATGGTAATACATGGGCGTGTACTCTTAACCTTTTAATGGACTAATTGGGTATTCATGCTGAAAATGATCATACTCTTTTTAGTTTATTATTTTTGCATGAATCATACATGTTTGTGAATGCATTAAACAGTGTTATGTCCCTTGCTCAGACATTTGAGTAAATTGATTAACAAAAAGCTTCATGTGTGATTAACTTGAATCATCTTTTTTTTTTTTTAATGCAGATATGTTATTTTTTCTATAAGAACATTGCATTCGGATTTACTCTATTTTGGTTTGAGGCGTACGCTTCTTTCTCTGGCCAACCTGCATACAACGATTGGTACATGTCATTTTACAATGTCTTCTTCACTTCATTTCCTGTAATTGCTCTGGGTGTTTTTGATCAGGATGTTTCTGCCCGACTTTGCCTCAAGGTACAAAAGTTGTCGCACTTCAAAATGCTTATGATAAACACAAAGCGATGTTATTATTAATATATGATGTCAGTTTCTTAATGACTGTTTAACCTGTTCAAGTATATTGCAATCATTATCACGTTTGGTAACACTTGTACATGATCAGCATCTTTTTGTTACCAATTCATTCAACTCTTCTTTTTTCTATTTGATTTAACATAAATAACTGAAAATATAAGTTTTCTAGCTCAGTCACACTTACATCTATAAGTACATATTTATCCTTGTACCGCAGCCTCCTTCACCAGTATATTCTACTTGTTCTTTGTTTCACACAAGCTAAAGCTTTTTTCTGCATGAATGACGGTACTTGTTTTTACTTTTTGCAGTATCCTTTTCTATATCTGGAGGGAATAGAGGACATCCTCTTCAGCTGGCCGCGGATTCTCGGGTGGATGTTTAACGGGGTCATCACTTCCTTGATTATCTTCTTCTTGACCACAAACTCTGTCTATAACCAGGCCTTCAGAAGAGATGGTCAGGTGGTTGATTGGGAAATACTAGGGGTCACAATGTACACTAGTGTTGTGTGGACTGTGAATTGCCAAATAGCACTATCCATTAACTACTTTACTTGGATCCAGCATTTTTTCATATGGGGCAGCATTGTCTTCTGGTATGTGTTCTTGTTGGTTTATGGCTATCTCCCTCCAGCCATATCCACAACAGCTTACAAGATTCTTGTGGAAGCCTGTGCTCCCAGTGGTCTCTATTGGCTTGTTACTCTTTTTGTTGTTGTGTGTGCTCTTCTTCCTTATTTCTCCTATAGGTCTTTCCAGACGCGGTTTCTACCAATGTACCATGATATTATTCAGAAAAAACAAGACGAAGGGTCCGAAACTGAGATATCTGATGACCTGCCAAAAAATGTCAAGGGCAAGTTAAGCCATCTCAGAGAAAAAATGAAGCAAAGAGACTTGTAAAAGCGCAAATCATCTAAACCTTTTCTTTCTCTCTTGATCTTTGGATTTGAACTGGGAAAGGTAGTTTGTAGGAGTAGGATTTGTGTGGAAGCCACCTGATGTATATTAAAGTTTGTGTAATTGTATTTTGTAATTGGAAGTAACTTTTCTATTTTCCCCCCTTTCTATTCTATTGGTCAATGCATCCTTCACAGGTTGCTGAATGCTCCTGTAATAGGTTTTGCGGGGCGCTGAACAATCGTGAATTCCGCCGTCTTCTTTTGTAGCTGTATGATATTCAGTAATATTAGATTATATTGGAGTATAATCGGACCTAATCAAAAGTTATTGCAAATTTGCTTAAGAAAACATAGAATTTTAAGGGTTCTTGAAGCCATCAAATTTAATTAATGAGGCTTTACATTTCGTCATTTCTTTAAAAAAAAAAATCAGGGGATGTTCTTGGGTCAATTTGGTTGCTCCATATGTCACGGGTGACGTGGGTTTCCTGGCAGGACCGAGAAGTTTGCTTGACTTTACCTGAGAAGGTCATCAAGTTGGTTTGCTTGCAAAACAATTTACCAATTGAATAATCAGTTGATTAAGACATGACCACACCAAACTATTCCTTTGGATACCAGTATCCACTAATTCAAACATAATAAAATGAACATTATATATGATTAAACTTTCCAAAAGGAGTCTTCCCTAATTAAGAGTTAGGACTTGGGGATGCAAAATATCTAGAATTACACTTACACGTATAATCTAATTAGTAATAATCAATGACATTTTATATGCGCACGCACGTGTGGTTGCTGGACTATAATAATTAACTCAGTAAAAATAATTGAAATGAAAGGTCAAATACATACTTTCTCTAATCTTATTGACAAATCATTTCAATATATTTTATCAGAATTAAAAAAATTCAAAACACATAATTTTGTTTTAAAAATTAATAAGTTTTTGACTTTATTCTTACTAAAATAAATTTACTTTAATAACATACTTTTTTTTTACTAACATAAGGTAAAACTTATAATAAAAATTTAATTACATTACTTATAAATATGACAAAAAAGTTATCTTTCTTTATTTTAGACATAAGACTGAAAAGAATACAACAGGTCAAGCTACTTACGTAGAACTTTTTGTTGAGAACCATATCTGTATCTGGTTCACTGAATAATTTATATTTGAACTGTACCATGTTATATATGTATAAACGATTGGTACAAGTTGAATTCAAAATCGAAACATTTGATTGCACTTTGAAAAAAAAAAAAAAAAGTCTGCCTTGGGAGGAAGGCGACCAACATATATTGTCAGCAATGAGGTAAAGAAGTGGGTGGTGGGGCACTTCCTTTGTTAATCATCTTGTCGTGACTCCTTTTTACATAATATTTTTATTTTATTTATTCCTGGATCAACGTCACGTGTGGCGATCTTCCTCGGGTATATTTCTTCTAGAAGGTCAAGGGCTTGGAAAACAAGCATCCTGGCCTTGGGAAATGAGAATGGAAAATCACATCATCATCATTTTTAACAAAATGAATTACGTTGTTGCTAACAAAATGGAAGGCATGAATGGCCAAAAGAAATACTCCCTCCATTCTTCTATATATGAAATCTTAAAAAAAAAATTATTCTTAAATATAAGAGGTTATTAATATTTTTTTGATGAATGAATCATTATATCTTTATTAAATTAAAAAAATAAATATTCTCATTAATTTATTTAAAAAAATTTATTTTTTATTTATAATAATTAGTGGTAGAATTGAAATATTGTTATGTTTTTAATTAGATAATTAACTTTTATTGATTTATATGATTTGATTAAAAATATTTTATGTATATCTTATATATATAGAGGAAAACATAATGCAATGCCAAGGGATCCACACGCCGGGAATCCATGGGAGCTCATTAAAAATGGGCGTGTTACCTGGGAATGCATGTTCAACACATGAGACAACCTTTTAACTGAATTCTGAGAGTGCGAATAAAAATCAATGCAAAACCAGTAGTGAATCTTGTGAGTAAAACAATTAGAAAGTTTGCTCCAATTAAAATCAATAATATTTAAATCTTGATTCAAACCTCATTATCATATGAATTTTGGATATCCTTGAAATAAACATTGAAAATTAATTAAAAAATTATGAGTCCACGCAAATTTCAAGCAGTTTCACAGATTTATTGGAATCACCTTTTCTTTGGTAATCGCACGTACTCATTGAACATATTTTTTTGATGCTCACGGAACTTGTAATTCAATCTCGTGACCCCACTAACCATTAAAACCAGCAGTTGGGTAAGGCTAAGGCTATGAATAAAAAACAATATGTTTCATGGAGTCACATGCAAAGATATACGTGGTGTTTTTATTATTATTATACCCTGCTAGTTCAATATCTCTCTCATTCTTTAGTTAAATTATAACCTACAGCTTTTACCCAAAAAATAATAATAATAATAATAACCTACAGCTTATGACCATATTCAGCGCCTAAAAAATAATTTGCTTCTAAGCTTTTCAAGCTTTTAAATGTAAAATAAAATTTAGAGATAACGAAACTTTTAAACTTTTAAATTTATCTTAATTATAAATTTGATTTATAAAATTTAATTTATTATATATTTTTAAATTATTATATTAGTATTGTGGATTTTGAATTAAATGTAAACTTTTGCCGATGATCTTTTGAGTGAAAAGTAGAAAGCGGAAAAGAGAGAGAGAGAGAGAAAATCCAATTAAAAAAAAATAAGTCAGAATTTTTTCTTTCATTTCATTTATTTTATTTTATTTATTTTTCTTTTTTTTTTCCTGAGCCTTCGGGAGCACGCAGCCACACCCTCGTGTGTATAAACGTGGGAGTAAGACGTGTGAAAGGAGAAATGCCCAAGAATTGCGTCAAAAAGAAAAATTCTTGATGTCCAAGAAAATTGCCATGCTCCACTTATTATTGCATTAAAAAAAAAAAGAGTTATCAACCTGAGCCATTTCCCATCAATCCATTTGGTGTGACTAGGAAGTTGTAATTACTAAATTAACTAAACAAAGCGTCACCAGTCATTAAAACGTCAATAATTTTATTCGTTTTAACGCGTTGACTGTCAACGCTTCCTTGTGCAGCCCTTCGTATAAATGTAATCAAAGCCCATTCTCGTTCCGCCGTGAAGCTAGGGAGAACAAAGTAGAAGTGAGAGGAACAAGAAATCCAGACATCGATTAATCTTTTAATTGATGAGGAATCAGCAAGAGCGAGAAGAAAGTGTGGACTCCTTGGTGAGTCCAAGCTTCAGCAGCTACACTTCCGACAAGCTGGCAGATATCGCCGATCAAGTAAACCGAGACTACTTTCGCAGCCTAGAGCCACGAGACAATGGCTTCGAATTCGTCACGTTGCGGAAGGCCGCCAACGGCGTCTTACTCGACGGCTACGTAGGCCCTGTTTTCCCAATTTTCAATCGAGACCTGTTAATGCTGGATGAGAATGATGGTGGAAATGGCCGTGCTCGGGAATCTAGTGAAGAGGAGGATCATGTGATGGCTCTTCAATTCCGGATAAGGAATTTGACGATTCATCACGATCATGATCCACCGTCTTCCTCATCGTCGTCTGATGTTGATAATTCGGAGGAAATTCCGCCGGGAAGTTACTGCGTTTGGACTCCTAATTCAACCAAAGCCTCGCCGAGCAGACGCAAGAAGAGCAACTCTACAGGATCGCCGCCGCCATCGAAACGGTGGAAGCTTCTGGATTTGCTGCGGCGGAGCAACAGCGCCGGGAAGGACTCGTTGGCGTTCTTAACTCCGACATCTTCAGGGTCCAATTTGGAGAAGAAAAAGAAGGAGGCGAAAGGGGAGAATTCGAAAGAGAAGAAGGTTTCGGCTCATGAAGCTCTCTACGCGAGGAACAGGGAGGTGAGCAAACTGAGCAAGAGAAGGTCTTACTTACCGTACAGGCAGGGCCTGATCGGATTCGGTGTTAGTGTCGACGGCGTGGGCAGGGCCTTGCGTTCATTCTGATTCCAAGAACCTCTGCCCATGAAGATGAAATTCTTCTGTTTGTTACTTTGCATTTGCATACCTGTAAAATATTATGAAGAAACTAGCTTGTGCATGAAAACCAAATTTTAATTTACATAATATGCTGTGAGTTATTCTATTCAAAAAGATAGATGTGGTATAAATCATCTAATCCACTTCTAGTGTGCTATGATAAATACATTAATAACTAATATTGTTTCGGAAAATTTTAAAAAAAATAAAATTCTTCTCATTTAAATTTTAAAAATATCATCTAACTCATTTGATATAAATTATTAAGCCTCCATACCAAGAAGATGCTATGATAAAACTTAGCTTTACTCCCTCCGCTCACTCAGTATTAAAATGAATTTTTCTAGTATCTTCTTAAAAAATATAAGGTATTTTAATTTTTTTAAAGTGTGATTAATAATAATTTTTTCAATAAGGAGTGTAATTAATAAGGTTTTTAATTGAGGCACTTTATTGAATAAGAATAAATATAAAAAATATATAATTTTAAAAACAATTAATTAATTCATTGGAAGTATAATTTAATTAAAAGTATCTTATAATAATAAATAAGGAAGTATATAAAAACTAAAATTTAGGAAAACATTTTTTAATGGGTATGAGGTAAATAATTATAACTTATATCACGAACGTATGCTTAAAATTCTATGACTTTCTATAAAATTTCAGTTAATCTGTTAATTTTATAAAATATATTTTTAATCTTTTAATCTTAACATTATTAATTTTAAATAATTATTTTTTAATAATTATTATTATTTTTAAAAAATTAAATTTAATATGTTTGTCATCATTTAAAAGTGTTTTGTTAATATCTAAAAATTTAAAGCAAGAATTTTTTTATTAACAAAATTGATAATGTTATAGTCAGAAAAGTGAGAAAATATTTTATAAAGGAAAAATAAAACGAATGGTTCTTGTAGTTTTAACATATTTTGATATAGGTCATTATAATTTTTTTTTATTACTTCTAGCCTCTCTAATTTATTCTATCTGTAATATTAGTTTTTATATTTTTAAACATGTCTAAAAAAACGGTGATATGATACAAATTATGTTAAATATATTGATTTATGACTAATGTTATTAACATGTATTGAGAATAAATTATTATTCAACATATTGAAACATAAAATATGAAACAAAAAGAGGTAGATAACACTGTTAATCTATTATATTGTAGCATAGACCAACGATATTAGTCACACAGTAGCATATTTAATATTGTTATTATTGAGGGAAAAAATCTTATCTGTTTCCACTGTAGCATTTATGGACATAGAAAAGAAGATTGTCCATTGTGTCTTTCTAAACATAAACTAGACATAATAAATTAGAAGAATCTGCGTAACAAAAATAAATCTGTAACAACCCATACAAAAGCACGTTAAAACTATATAAATCCATAATTATGTTTTCACTTTTGTATAGTTAAAAGACTAAAGTTATTCTAATTTATGCTTCGAATTTGAGGTAACAAGTTAACAAAGGTTGACCAATGCACTCTGCCTGCTCAGGAAACGATTTTTTCCCGCATCTTACAACGATTTTTTTCCCGCGGGTTATTTTTTCCCGCGCTGTGCCCGTTTAACCGTCGTCCGTCCTCCGATACTCGCTCCTAATTAAAATGCTTGCCACGTGACCGTGATCGAGGTTTTAGATTTTTTTTCCTTTGCATTGGGGGAAAAAAAAAAATTCCACGTGGCATGCAAAGTCGGTTCGAAACCGCTGAACTAGGTTCACGTGGGTCCGACGCAGTCACCACGTGGACCTTGAACGTCTTACCCCAACCCTGTGGCTTCCTTCGCTTTGGCAGAGCTTTCCGGCAATACCACTCCGTTCTCAGTAGCATAGGGTCTATAGGTAATCGCCCTGTGATCTCTGATGGAAGCCTGTGTTTAAGCGCTTTGTGTTACTTAATCTACTCTCCAATATGCTCTCTCTGCAATTCATCGTCTCAGGAGCTCTCGATCGTCCTTTGCCGTTGCTGCTGGGCAGCAATTCTTCGTCGTTTTGGGCCAAAGATTGGTGCTTGCTCAAAGCAAGTTCTTCAGTTGCTGGTAGAAAGAAGCTTCGATTCAATGGTGGAACTGTTAGGGTTTTGGCAATGTCTGGGACTTCTTCCGCATTCAAGATGAATCTAAACGAGTATCTGGTTACTCTGGAGAAACCACTTGGTATCCGGTTCGCTGTCACTGCTAATGGCAAAATCATCGTTCACTCCCTTAAGAAAGGGGTAATATTGTATACTACGTTGTCTCTCTTATATCATTAACTCTGCTGTCCTGCTATGTCCGAATCCAAAAGTTTAATGTAAATTGGTTTTGATGTTCAAATTTTTTTCTCGTTATGCGGTAGGGCAATGCAGAGAAGTCAAGAATTATAATGGTCGGGGACACTTTGAAGAAAGCTGGTGATCCATCGCAAAATAGGCTTGCTGAGATTAAGAATGTTGAAGATGCGCAGTATGTTTAAGTTTTGACTGAGCATTATGGTTGTACTTGCATTTCATTATTATGAACAAAACTAATAGTTGTGAATCGTCTAATTGACTCCTGGAAGAACGTTTCTGGAAAAAAAGTTGCGTTAAGTTTTGCACTGTAAAATGTCATATTGACAATCAATCTGAAGTCTCGTGCTAGTTCACGACAGACGCAGCAGCAAAGTCGGGGGGCTTATCATTTCCTTATTTGTTTTCTATCAGTTGCATTGGGCACGAACACCCCCTTCCCCCCCCCCCCCCCATCAAACAAAAAAAAAAAATTCAGCATTTCAATATAATGATGTTGAAGTTGTTTAGTTCTTTGTCTCGATATAATTAGCACAGGATTATTTTTATGATTGCTCATAGATATTTTCCTATTGAAGACAATCCTATTTGAGATACAGTCGATTAGCACATGATTATTAGTGAAACTGGATATCCAACATAGTGCTTTTAATTTTCATCTAGCATATTTGTGATTAAGATCATGTTTTTTTTTTTTAATGGATTAAACTTAAATGCAGTTTCCCCCATCAGATTCCCTTTTAAAATGTAACAAGCGTGCAGTTTGATTGAAAAACCATGTACTTGTTGCAGAAACCGTATACTTTGTTATGTTATTGGAAAACCACATAAGACTCGGATATTAACTGAATAATTTGATCAAGAGTTCTAAGATATTGTCAGGGTATTGGCCCTGTAGAGGTATAGAAAATTTTTTTCTTTCAATTTTTTCTTTATTCTGCTCAGGGTTTTCTACAAAATACTGGTATTTACTGGCTTCAACCTAATGCAAGATTAGATTTGCCAAGCCAGGACACAATCTAATTTTTTCTATGTGCTTGACCATGGCATTCTAAACATTTACTATGATGAACTTTCAACTAGAAGATAGAAAAGATTACCATTGGTGTTTGTGTGGATGCTTTTTCATTTCTTTTAATGACCAAGAGGTTGCCAAAACATGACATGGGATTATTGCATCTTTTTTTTTTTTTTCCTGAAGCTATGGTTAACTTTTCTTGGTTTGGGTTTTGCAATCTGCATACGTTACTATTCTATACCGTAGTGTTTTGTATTTATATTTTCATTTTTGTTTTCATCAGGAATATTTTAAAGGAGCAAACTAATCCTTTAAGCATGGTTCTTGAGAGGCCCAGATCACCTTTTCCCATCCATCTACTGCACAAGATAAATGATCTTGAAGTACAATTCAATAGAGGTCAAGTTCCTATTGCCACCTGGGACAAGGCAGTATTGGCTTCAAATTTACAGCCATCTATTGAAAGCTCTGGGAATAGTGGTTTTTCTACCTTCAACTCAAAATTTCTAACACCAAAAGGAAGCAAGTTATTGGGCAATCCAAATGAACATGTCCTCCTCAATGAAGAGATAAAATTCTTTAGTGATGAAGAGTATGATGAAGGAGAGTGGGCTCATGGAAGTTTCCCACTTGAGGAATATGTCAAAGCTCTGGATCGTTCAAAAGGCGAGATGTACTATGATCACTCCCTTGGTATGCGCTATTCTAAGGTGTGGATTTATTTATTTATTTTTTAGTGTAATACATTCATTTTAGTTCTGCTCATAAGTATAGATTTTAATGAGCACTGCCATTATGCAAATTATTAGATTTCGGAGCAAATATATGTGGGATCATGTATACAAACAGAAGCTGATGTGGAAACATTGTCAAAAGTTGAGGTAAGAATTTCCTCACCTTAATATCAAGATAGCCTCCCAAAACCCAATTTGTAGCATCAACAACCAATGTTGTAGAAAAATGACTCAAGTCACTTTTCAATCACAAAACTTGAATATATTAAAGCCTATAACAGTGAAGTTGTATTTGTTTATTCTGCATGTTGAATAAAAAATGGTGTGTGCATGAACTACTTGTAAAGAAAGGGGTTAAGGGCAAAAATGCTCTGGAACTTTTTATTCAAAGGCGCCTAGCATCTTAAACTCTTTTTTGGAATATTTTTACCCCGGAAGTTTAAAAAATAGAGCATTTTTGTCCCACTGTTAAAAATCTCTAACATTGACTGTTAAACTCAAGTTTGATTGAGGATATTTTTTTTGTTTTTTCCCTCCTTCTTTCTGTGTTTGGTCTCCAATTTCACTCTCTAGTGAATTCTTTAACTTTTCTTCTTTCAACGAATGAAAATGAAAGCCGAAAAATGCACAAACGAAGGAGGGAAAAATCGTAAAATACCAGGGTTAAACTTCAGTTAACAATCAATGTTAGGGATTTTTAACGGTGGAACAAAAATGCTTTGTTTTTTGAAATTTTAGGGGCAAAAATACTCCAAAAAAAGTTTAGGATGCCAAGCGCACCTAGAGGAAAAGTTTCAAGATATTTTTGCCATTTAATCCTAAAAAAGAATTGCAGTTGACTGACTGCAATATTAAAGTGAAATGTATGATATAACTGAAATATGCATAGCATTTGATCATGAGATTTTTTAGCCAGATGGCATGC